CTGTGTGCAGATTTGGATTTCCTTTGCCACCTTTGCCCAAAACCATGCTTCTTGAACCCTTGGATGTTGATGTTGAGCATTATAGAAAGTTGTATTCTGATATTCAAAAGAAAATGAATGATTACAAAGATGGTTGTAGTTTAGACTACGAGTCATTCTTACAGACTGTAGTAGAAATGTGTGAGGATGAGTATATAAAATGTATTCGAGCATCCCTAAAAGGTCCCAAAGTGTTTCTAAGGAGAAGTCCATCTGAAATGAGAGTGAATTATTACAATACATCAGTGCTAAAGGCTTGGAATGCTAACTTAGATATTCAGTTTGTACTTGACCCTTATGCCTGTGCCACATACATTGTTGCTTACATCAGCAAATCTCAAAGAGGAATAAGTGCTATGCTTGATAAGGCATCTCAAGAAGCTGCAGAGGGAAATATGGATCTTAAGCGCCAAGTTCGACACATTGGAAACAAGTTCTTGAACTTCGTTGAGGTCAGTGCACAAGAAGCAAGTTATTTGATCCTTCAGATGCCACTTACACAAGCTAGTAGAGAGGTTGTTTTTATAAATACCTCACCACCTGAAGACAGAGTTTTCTTACTCAAACATCAAGATGAATTGAATGAGTTACCAAAAGACTCAACTGACATTAAGTCAGATGGTATGATACAGAGATATGCAAGAAGACCAAAGCAACTAGAAAATTGGTGCTTAGCTGATGTTGCTTCTGAGTTAGAAGTCACTTTTCCAAAAGAAATGGAAAAAGATGTGCAAGAAGAAGTGAATGACGATGACCCTGAAGTAGATTCTCAACAGAAAAGCTTTTCTGATCAGGATGTTTTAGTTCATTTGAAAAATGGGATTAAGATCAGAAGACGAAAAAACAAACGGGTTATAAGATACGTAGGGTACAGCCAAAAAACAAATTCCGAACAGTATTACAGAGAAAGAATTCTTCTCTATCTGCCGTGGAGAAATGAGAATACTGATCTTTTTGGTAGTTGTCAAACTTATGAACAGCATTACATGCAAAAAGCAAGTATAATACAAATGAAGCAAAGGCAGTATGAACATTTTGTGGATGAATTAGAACAAGCTCGACTTCAAGCTGAAGAAGATCTTGATGATCTGGAGACAGTAGCACCAAATACAGAACATGCTGAGCAGAAGATGCAGAGATAGGTTCTGAACCATCCGAGGAATTTGTTCATTTTGATCCTGATACAGTTCAACATAGAGATTTTGATATAGGTCCAGACTTGGGTTTGTCCTCAAAAGTAACTGAAACAGAAATGAGTGCTGTCCGAATTCCTGATGAGCAGTATTAATAACTTTTGCAATCCCTGAATACAAAGCAGAGAGAATTTTACAATCATGTGACAAACTGGATTCAAAACAGAGAAGAACCATTGTATGCTTTTCTTACTGGTGGAGCAGGTGCAGGAAAGTCAGTGGTTATTGATGCCATTTTCCAAACATTACACAGAATACTTTACTCAAAAGAAGGAGAAAACCTTGATGATATTAGAATATTACTTTGTGCTCACACTGGCAAAGCTGCATACAACATCAAAGGGACCACTATTGCATCAGCATTTCACAGGAAAATGTATCAAACACAGCAGCACATGGGTGCAGATGAATTGAACTCATTTAGGACAAAGTACCGGAATTTGTCAGTTGTGATAATAGATGAAATTTCAATGGTTGGAAATAATATGCTGACATTTATAAATGATAGACTCCAACAACTTACTAGTAGAAAACAAGACTTTGGTGGTATTAGTATCATAGCTGTAGGTGATTTATATCAGATACCACCTGTTGGAGACAAGTGGATTTTCAACGACCTTTCTAATCCTGGTCAGAGTTTAGCAACGAATTTGTGGCATGAGCATTTTCATATGCATGAACTAACTGAAATTATGAGACAAAAGGATGACCTCAGATTTGCTGAAATGTTGAATAGACTTCGTGAAAACAAGATGACAGATGAAGACAAAGAACTTATTTCTCAACGCATCATTGGGCAAGACTCGGAAAACTATCCTAAACAGGCTCCTCATCTGTTCATTGAGAACAAGTTTGTCGATTGTTTTAATAACAGTTTAATAGAGAACCTGTCAACAGTTAAGGTAAATGTAAGAGCAGATACAGATGTATTATCACAGACAAAACTTTCTGCATCAGTGAAATTGAAACTAGTTCAAAATTTACCTGAAAATCCAGCATCTACTGGACAATTAAGAACAAATCTTGTTATTGCTGTGGATATGCTCTATGACATATCAGTGAATCTTGATGTTACAGATGGATTGACAAATGGTGCTTCGTGTGTTGTGAAATACATTGAATATAGACAATCACGATTAAGACCTGCCATAGTATGGGTTCTGTTTGCTGACTCAAGTATAGGTATTTCACGAAGACATCAATACAGGCATTTGTTTAGCACAAATATTAATACTGCATGGACTCCCATATTTGAAGCTAAAAGAACATTTGTTTATAACAGGAAAACATATGAGAGAGTTCAGTTTCCACTGCAACCATCTGCTGGAAAAACAATCCACAAAGCACAAGGAGCAACTCTTTCAAAGGCAGTAGTCAGATTAGCACAGACAAAGCAGCGAAAAATTCCTCATATACATTATGTTGCACTTTCAAGAGTAAGGTCACTTGATGGTCTGTTCATTCTGGATTTCAATGAAAAGAGTCTTTCAAAAGATGAAACGGTTGATAAAGAGATGGAAAGGTTAAGAGAAAATAGATTGCAACTCTCATATACTCCACTATACTCGGTATGTAAAGACATAAAATTTTTGTTCAACAATGCCAGATCTCTACACAAACACTTCGTTGATATAAAATCGGAACCAAGTATTTGGGCAGCAGATGTTATTGGTATAGCTGAATCTTGGCTTTGTGAATTAGATTCTGATGAAGACTTTAGTTTAGAGGGTTTTACAATGTTCAGGAATGATGCAAGTTCTTCCCAGAGCAGACCACATCATGGTATTGTCATATATGTGAAAAATCAATTACAGTGTGTTTCATACAGCTCTTTTACTTCCAAATCTGTTGAATTTTCCATCATTTTGATTATGCTCTCCAATACTCCAATACAGTGTGTAGTTTTATATAAGCAGCCTTCTTGTACTCTTCAAATTTTTTACGATACCTTGACAAACAGGTTGCTCCCATTTGTTAACAAAGATGAAAAAACTGTGATAATGGGAGATTTTAATTTGGATTTATGTTCTGGTCAATATGCTCATTTCTTGAACTTTATGAAAGAAAAATTTGGTTGTGTGCAAATCATAAGCAAGGTAACCACAAAGAATAAGACACAGTTAGACCTGATATTTACCAACTTTACTGATTTAGAAACAGATGTTCTTCAGGCTTATTGGTCTGACCATAATATGATTTATTGTGCTGCAGATATGACTTAATTAAGCAACCTATTCTAAAGACAGAACTGAATTTTAATTACATTGTGTAGTATCATAAAACCCTCTCGAGCAAATAACAGGCAGTATGTAAATATTTAGTTTCCATTGGAAGCTAAATATTTACATACTGCCTAGAGTGGTTAGGCAAAATCAAGGGTTGCCACTCATCAACTACTTTTTTGTCCCAATAACTCTCAGTATGTTTTATATATATAAATGTATTTTAAATTTCATTACTGGGATAAAAAAGATGTAGAATAAAATGCCCATGAGATGAAATTATGTATTTTATTAATGATACTTTGTACTGTCTACTTTTTTTTATTTAAATTTAATTTATGTATAATTATATTGTTAATCCACAATTTTAAATCCACAACAGCATTGTAAAACTGTCACTGTATAAGAGGTAGTTTTATTACCTAACAGATTGCAAATTCACATGTAAACAGTTCTGTAATAATCAAATTGATATACCATAAGTTAAATGTTGTATACCTATGATTTTGTATAATAATGATATTATTTGAAAATGTTAATGATATACGAGTTTGTCCAAAGGATTTGATTGATTGATAATTATTGTTTCTTTGTAGCTTGTTTTCTGTAATGTGGTCATGTGTCCGTATTGATTCATTAAGTCTGGATGAAACATACAATTGATCAAATATTACTTCTTTATTGTAACTTTCATTTTGTTCACTTTTACTTTTTACAATATTATATATATATTTGTGTATTTAATATACTACATGCATCTGATACAGTAATACATGTACAGTTTAACAATTAACATTTCATCTCATGGGCATTTATATTATCAATTTTTTTTGGTAAATATTAAAATACATTTCAATCTGGCTGTATAAGTAGTAGATATATTAGAATAATTTTTCAAATACAAGTCAATATAGGTATGAATTAATACCAAGGGTCCTTCATTCTGAATTGTGAATTTAAAGACCCCTGGGTCATGTGGGTCAATGGTAACATAGAGAAGGGGGGGGCTACCTAATTGTATAGTTATGATAAGAAATGGTGCCTCTTTCAAAATTGTGTACGCCATGGCCTCTCTGGTTTAAAAAATGAACCAAATTGAATGGTTGAAAAGTTGTTGCTTGATGCTCAGGTGACCTATAAGGCCCATGGGCCTCTTGTTTTCCTTGGCATGAAAAGGCAAATAAGAATAAAATAACTTGATAAAATTCTGGACATGTACATATTTGTTTGGGCTTGCGTAATTGGTGATCACACCTGCCCGAAGGGCATGTGCTGAAAAAAAGATTTGGCGAAGACTGTATAACACATTGAATCTGTCATATCCAACACTGATATTAGGTGTCAACACAGAGTAAGCATCTCCTTTTCACTGGTGACACTTGCCGTGAGCCGTCTGTAATGTTCAGTTAGCTGGACAATCAGGTAGAAAACTCTATATAATAACTAGGCTCTAACAAATGGTAGGAAACAAGTTAGCCATAGTAAAATGCAATGGTTAGGGTCAGGTGATTGAACCCATCTTCAGGATTTCTTTCTTTAATTGTAGCCTTTATGGAGAGGACTTGTTTACCAGGATAGGAATGGAAGATTATAGAACAGAGGCCGATGTGATTAAATACATCCAACAGATCTGTGAGGGACTCAAACACATGCACGAGAACAACATTGTCCATTTGGACCTCAAGGTCAGTAAAGTGAATTGTCTCAGGGTCACTAACGCTTTATTTTGAGTATTTGATTTATGTATAATGATTTTTTTTATCTCAACTGAGCTGAAAGCTCAGGTGTGCTTTTCTGTTCCTCCATTGTCTGTCCTCCAATGGTAAAAGTTTCACATGTTCTAATTCTGGTCAAGAACCAATGTGCCCACTTTAACGAATCTTGGTACAAAGCATTTGTGGGTAAAGGGGAATTAAATTTAATATAGAACAAGCCTAATATTTAAGCCCTTGTAGTAATTGTAGAAAAGCTGTGTTAAATTTATTGCTATGCCCTCTAGCAATTGTAGACATTGAGAACGGTATGGAAATGTTTTGCAATCATGTATACATTTCTTGTTGATAAGGAATGGGACAGAATAAGATTATCTGTGAGCCACAATATGAAATCTCAAAAGTATGAGATGAGTAGGGTTAAGTCAGAATAGAAAGATATATGTGAAGAACATGATGGCCATCTGTACGATGAGATGATGACTGTGGCTTTTTGTTTTCTTGTTGTAGCCTGAGAATATAGTTTGTGATTCCATCAATCCCTATCATCTGAAGATGATAGAATTGGGCCTTGCTGCTGAACTGAAACCTGGGGAGATTGTCAAAGTGACAACTGCTAATGCAGGCTTTGCTGCTCCTGAGATTGTAGACTCTGAACCTATTGGTTTTTACACAGACATGTGGGCTGTTGGAGTGCTCTCTTATGCATTGTGAGTATGAAATAGTTAACTTTTAAAAATTATCAGCAATAGATAAAGAACTGAAGGTAATTGTTATGAATTAGAAGAAATGAAGAATAAAAATATAATGTGCTATTTTATATATTTAACTTGACCCTAAGATGAAAGGCATTGTTTTTGCTCTTATTTCACATTCCTTATAATAAATGTTGTCTTTGTGAAGGTTGAGTGGATTCTCTCCCTTTGCTGGTGAGGACGACCTGAAGACTAGGCAGAATGTAAGTCGTTGTGTGTGGGACTTCTCAGACCAGTGTTTTACTGAAGTATCTTTACAATCCAAGGACTTCATTAGGAGACTCCTTGTGAGGAACCCCTAGTAAGTACATGTAGTACCACGTAGCCTAGATTGAAATTTTTTATAAGATTAAGCTTTAACCCCGGAAACTTGAATCTCATTATATTGAAGGTTGTTTGAAAGTCTTTAATAACTGATTTTACCAATTCATTTCGAATAGGAGTGAATTCAATGTTGAATTATTAATTTAGAAAATGTTACATAATTGGGATATGAGAATTCTGTAACCTGGTGATCTTTTGGTTATGAACTAAATGAACTTGATATATTCTTATAATAAGCAGGAGTGCCTCAACCCACTTTGGAAATCTCATGGCCCCTGTGTTAAGGAGTTTGTCATTTGTTTGAAGGATGGGTGGGGATGGGGACTTTTGATTAGATATTGGATATACACAAATCAATAGAAAATATTTATCTTTGCTCCTGTTTATTTTGCCAATGTTTCAAGTATATATAAGTAAGATGAAGAAAAGTGCATGTAGAGAAATGGTCAATTTTTTTGTGAATGACTTGTATAAGTGAAGTGTATGCCTTCTGCTTTATAACATGAATTGAAATCAAATTTTGGAAACTTGTTACAGGAAACTCAGGTGACCTATAAGTCCCTCGGGCTTCTTGTTAGGCTTGCTGAATTATGTACTCCTTTATGTATATGTGTTGTTTCAGACTGAAGGAAACCTACATGTATTACAAGTGGTTATGTCATTCTTTTTATTTCACAGTGAAAGGATGTCAGTTCATGAGAGCTTAGACCATGCCTGGCTGGTGGTAAAACATTCTCAGTTACCTTATATAAATTGTTAATATTTGCACAACTCTTTTTCATATTCATTTACTTGCCCTATGAAATAAGATATGTAGAAATAATTTATGTAGAATTAATTTATGAATTTGAATTTTACCCGATAAAAATTTATAAAAATACAACTTAATCATTTAGTTGGTTTAAATTAGCTTTAAACTCTTAATGGTTACCTTTTTTTTTCAGCTGAGGTGAGGTTAATGCTCAAGTAGGCCTTTCAGATCAGAATTAGTCTGTTGTTGTCTTACTTTCAAGGTGAGATATATATTAAATAAACTTATCTGTTAAGAATGTTTTTGTCAAGAACTAATGACGTGATTTAGCCATTTAAGCTGAAACTCCCATGGAAGCATCCTCAGGTAGTGTAAATTCAAGTTTGCAGAAATCATGACTTTTGGGGGTATCTCGGCGCCACAATGGCTGATAAAAGTTTTACATAGGTAACTATATCAAAAATCTGTTTAAAATCTTTTTCCCCAAAACCCTAACTAAAAAAACCATTACACTTTAACATGTCGAAGCCTCTTCACAGGTTGTAAATTAAAGTTTGTAAAAATCCTGACCTTCTGGGGTTAGGGCAGGCCAACAAAGCAGGGTTAGGTGGGGTGGGTTGGGGGGGGGTGTTAGCAAGGGGTCACAATGGCAGCTCAATGAATAATTTTGAAGCTACTCAAGATTTTTTTTAAATTCTGGCGATATAATACATATATGTTTTTTTGATAAAGTGAAATTCTCAAGTAATAGAAAATTCAAATTTCCCCATATCCCACATGTTGATTTCATCAGTACTCAAGTGAGTATTTCAACTATCCCAACTGCTAATGTGAGCGATGTGGGTTATGGGCCTCTTGTTTTGGTTTAGGGTGATCTTGCCACAAGGACGACACAAATTGCTTACACTCGGTATGATGCAATCATGCCCAGGATCCGAGAACAATATGTATGTAATTTAAATGTAACCAACAACGCATTCATGATTCGAAAATGTAGAATTGATTGTCATTAAAGGCGAATTACTGAAAAGTGAAATCCTCAAAGGATTCAATAGAAGATGCATTCCTTTGATGTTATATTTTTTAAATTAACAGCTTGGCTGGCCACAACCACTGATAGGTATTGGAGGCATGGCTAACTTTAGCTCTCTCCGAAGACTTCATCCCAAAGAGTACCACATTCATGATGCAGAATTCGGTATTGCATTTATTCTATCAATTTATAGGAGATGGGGGTACACTGATGTATCATGTAGTGTCTGTAATAAATAAATTTTCATGTCATTTTCATAAGGAATCCAACTTTGCAAGTGATGTCAATTTCATGAAACAATCTCATTTAAACTTCTTACTTCTTATTGCTTTGCTGCTGTCCGTCGGTCTGTCGGTCCACTTAGTTTCCGTTCATTTTCTTCGCAACCCTTGCAGATACTGAAATGATATTTGGTATACAGATATATCACATGAATATGTAAGTAAAACCTTGTTTCGGGTACGATCGCGCTGTTTTTGACAGAGTTATTTCCCTTGGACTTATTAAAATTGTAATTATTTGCAGTTTCTGTTCATTTTCTTTGCAACAGTTGCACATATTGAGATGAAATTTAGTATACCGATTTATCAGATGAAGATCTAGTTCAAGATCTGGTGTGGGTACGATGGCGCCATTTTTGTCAGAGTTATGCCCCTTCGAGTAAGAAAAATTCTAATTATTTGCAGTTTCCGTTAATATTCTTTGCAACTGTTGCACATACCTAGATGAAATTTAGTATACAGATTTATGAGATGAATATCTAGGTCAAGTTTGTTTTTTGGGTACGATTGTGCCATGTTTGACAGAGTTATGCCCCTGGGACTTAGAGAAATCCCAATTATTTGCAGTTTCTGTTCATTTTCTTCACAACCGTTGCACATGCTGAGATGAAATTTAGAATACAGAATTTTCAGATGAATATCTAGGTCAAATCTATTTTGGGTACAAATATGTCATTTTTGACAGAGTTTTGCCCCTTGGACTTGGACGAATTCCAATTTGGGCAAAGGGGGACATAAGTGTTTAACAAACATCTCTTGTTTTAAGTAATTTATGCTTTTAAATAAAATTCAACTTCCTATTCACATATTTGTTTCCTTTTAGTGTCCACTAAAATGAACTGTTCATGGCACTTGCTAATTATTTTAGCACAATCTTTAATAGCATGCTATATTTGTGGAGCCTTTCATCAAAAATCCCATATCATCTCCCTTTTTCTTCCTATGTTCCTGTCTATTTCTCTTTATATAATAAATTTTATATGACCTCAGTGTGTGCTTAAATGTGGTGCTGTGTTGTATTTGGGGAGGGGGTTGGGGTTAGGATGGGGTTTACCTTTTGTTAGGTATATTATACTTCATGTGATGCCTTACATAAGAACATATAATGAATTATGATTGAATGCATAATAACTGAAGTAAGCTACCAAATTAATGCAGAAATTTATGAATTATCACATAGATCACAAGGAGGCAGCTCCAAAATTTCTCATGTGTCCTAGAAATGTAAGTGTGAAAGAAGGCAAGTCAGCTACAGTGCAGGGAAATAATTTTGTTACAGCATCAATGCTGATTTTGGTGCTTCCTATGCTTGCTGATTTTGATGCTTCCTTTGCTTGCTGATTTTGATGCTAGTTATCCTTATCCTGATCCTGGTTTGATCCTTATCCTGATGCTGGTTTGAAACTAGGTCAATGCTAGTGATGCTACCGGAAGTAGGATTATCCTGCCGGAAGTGGATAATTCAAAAACAGCATCGCTATTTTAAGCCATTAAAAATTATTTTTGGTGTAACTTTTATTTGTAATATGTATTTAATTACTTTCCTTTTATCTGTTTTCACTTTTTACCGAAAAAATTAGCGATTTTTAACGAATTTCGTTTTGTCGTATTGCAATCGTAAAGAAACAAAATGGCGACAAAGTGGAAGTTGGAAGTAAATCTTCATCTTGCGAAGTTATCGTAACATAGTTATTTGATATTGATTGCAGCTAAAATGCGATGATTTATCCTTTTTGTGATGCGATTTTAGTAGGTGAAATAGCCCTAGTGTGTGCAACGTGTAAGCATGAAAACGTGATGGACAATGAACATGATGAAGTTTATGTCAAATCCAGATGAAAATTTATTGCGTGTCCTGTGAATATTTTAGCGAAAATATTATGCTTTAGCCTAAATGGAAAAGTCGTAATCCAAGGTACCAATAGATCATCAGTACAGTCACTACAACCACTCAGAGGGTATGTAAACAATGTTTTTTTTTTAAATAAGATTACATAAAAATGGTAAAGATTATGTGAAACAGATTTAGTGTTACAAAAAATCGAAAACTCAAAATTCTGAGCGATTAAGGCATTTAAACATGCAAACCCATGTGATTTTAAAGGTCAATTTTTACAATTGAGTAAAAAATAAATGATTTTTTTTTTAAATTTAGAATCTGCAGATGCAGTATTCTGTAGTTAAATCCACAAAGTATCAAGTCAAATTATACATAACCCATTGTTGCAACCACGGCCAAAATGTACAACCTTCTCCCATTCCGACCGTGGTCAAATGAGAAAGAATATTTTGTAGCTCGATCATTAATATTTTGTAGCTCATTAAAATACTGACCATTTGCAAATAAAGCAAAGTAAGATATTTTACTTTGATCATGATACCCAGTCGCAGTGTAAGAAACACTGTTGAGTGAATGTTAATTGTTCATTTCAATTGGGATGGAAAGAAACCCATGTTCACTTACAATGTCATATGACGTCACAATAAAGATTGAGGCATCAAGATAAAGATTAGGAAATTTTTTGATCAAGCAGCCACGAACAGGAGAGCTTCACGCTTACAACAGTGTGGTAATGTACATATATAACCTGACCGACTGATAACCAAGTCCACTCAAATCATCAGTCAAATGTACTTCACACAAACGTAGTACATGTATCTCAACCTTTGAACCAATCTAGAAGTCAACTCTTAAACAATAGTATGCATGGTTACGGATTTTATCTTTGCAGTCTTAGTTAGGCTGTTCCCTATCAAGTACTGTCCTGTGTCTAGTTTATGAGTAGAATCTAGATTGTATTTAAGGCTATAAACAGATATATAATTTTTTCAGAAGGCAGATATGTATCTATCCTGATATTTGAGCTACAATACAATGTCAATATGTATCAAATATTTTAATTGGTCATGTTTATCAGGAAGTCTTTTTTTGTATTGAACAAGATGTGTTTGTGAAACACTGTGCGGCTGCAAAAGAAAAAAATTT